GCGTGCACGCGATCGAATGGTCCAGATCTCATGCGTGCAGACGGCCCAGATCTCACGCGCATGGACGGCCCAGATCTCATGCGTGCGGATGGCCCAGATTGAATTGCGCACGGATGGCCCAGATCGCTCGCGATGGACGTCCCAAATTTAATCCCATTTTAATCTCGATCGGACGGTTTAGATTAAATCGTGATGGACGGCTGAGATTAAAAGAGGAAGGTTATAAATAACCTCACCCACACCCGACCCCAAACCTTAGCCGCCAATGCCCTCGCCAGAGAAGAAGAACCAGTCGCCGGAGAAGCTGGCCGCCGCCACCCGCCACCGCACCGGAGGGGTTTTTTTACATCCAAACGAGGTAAATTTTCTCCCATTGGCTCGTTTTTCAATACTGAATCCGCCTATGGCCAAGTCGGAGTCAAACCACCAGCCAATCGACCGAAAAATACCGCCAAAGTCCAGCGGCGCCGCCACAGCTTCCCTCAGTTTTTGCCTCCGATGAAGCCCTTTCCAGTTCCTGTTTGATGCAATTTTTATACCACTGTGATCACCGTCATTTTTTCTACAGGTTGACTGGAGCAAAACATCAAACCGCGACTCGCACCGGAGAAGTCGCCGCACCCGAGAGCACCACTGCTGGTAAGTCTCAGTTTTTCGTAATTTTTTGGCCCACCGAGGGCCCTAGGGTTGTTTTATCGCAGGAACCAATGCAAGTTTGGCCGAATTCGGCCAAAAACGGCCAATCCGAGGTGGATCGCCGCTACAGGCGGCGGTGCTGTCGCCGGAGCACGGCGGAACTGCCATGCCAGAATTCTGATATTGGCCGGGAAGGGGCCCTGGGTCTGATTTGGGATTTTTTGGGACACGTGCAGGTATCGGTAGTGCGTTTCAGTTTCTCAGAGAAAATTAAGGGAATTTAGGGACAGTCCGTATGCGCATTGTAGAGCCGATTTCAGATCCCGAAACAAGTAAGGATCTCTCACTCTATTTCCTATCACGGTATTAAAGCTCAATAAATGATAAAACAGCATTTCATAAATTAATAGATGTGTATAATTCCTTAAGGTTGCTAATGGAGCCCGAATATGGTGTATTTGTTAGTCAGTTGTTGTTTGATCTATTTTTCAGCTTTAATGCAGTATGGTATGTGATGTATTTATTTTATGGTTACGTATGCATGAATCATGATTTCTTTTATTATGGTTTGAATTATGGTGAACCCGATGTTGTGTTGTCTTGTTTGGTGTCAATTACTGGTTTACGTGTTTGTGTATGATTGGATAATTGAGACCAAGGAAAATGGAAAAAAAAGGTTATGTGAATTGATAAATGGATAATGTAGATAGTCTGACTAGATATCATGGGAGATGGTGGACGGATCGGGTCTGTAGAGAACCCTACCGGGAACGTGGTATCTCATATCGGACGGGGTATGGAGACCTTATGTGTTTTGGCACCCATACCGGACGGGATATGGGAACGACCTGTTTCACCCTCATACCGGACGGGGTATTGAGGTTTATGATTTTGGCACCCATACCGGTCGAGGTATGGGGATGACCCTGGAATCAGGTTATTAATGTTAATAGTTCACGTGTAGCGGGGACCCCCTATGGATCCCCATGGATACTAGTAGGTTGGTAAAATAGAAAATTATTTATTTGATTATTGAAGTGCGAAAGTATGACATGTACTATGTTACAAAGTATATATGATTTTATGATGGTTATAATGCTTTTGTTTTCATATGTTATTTTCATAAATCTCACCGAGGTAAGTGGGCAGTAAAGGTTTTTATTATTAATAAATGAGTTTGTTATAAATTATGCTCCATTGGTTATTTTTGTTTTCTACTAACCTTTACTTCTATGGCAGTGAGATAGTGTGATGTCTTTACTGGGCTAGTGTAGCTCATTCCTTACTTAACCATTTCAAATCAGGAAGACGTGGTTCCCAAGCCCGTTCCGCAGGAAGACGACGAGTTAAACGCCTAAAGACTTTATAGTTCTATTTATAGTTTTTATTTCGAGTATTTCTTTTAATTAGCTCATTCTTTCATATGTTGAATACGTTTTTAGTTATTGTGTAAGAGATGTTAATCAGAATTTTTATTACGTTTCCATATTTAAGATTTTAATACATACATCTTCATTTAAATTTCCGGGGCCGTTACAGAAGCATGTGAAATTAATTCGTTGATGTCTTTAGCTCTTGGAAAACATTTGCTAAGGCTATAGATAATTTTTAAAAATTAATTTACTTATTTTTAGATTAATTAATCAAGTAATTTCACTATTTTAATATTTTAAATAATATAAAAAGTATAGTTAATTATAAGTTACATCAAAACAATTTTCGTTGGGAGTGATACTCACGCATCACTTTATTATTTGCTTGGCCACTAGTGTAAGAATCTCATGTTAACTCATAATGCATATAAAACAAGTGTGGATTAAATGATCTATTCGTCTCATATCCACCCTAACCTAAGCATAACGTTTTGCTATTTAAAATTGCACATAAATTTTTACATATTTAACATTTTATTTTATTTTTCTTGAAATAAAAAAAAAAATCATTCCAAAAGTACCAAGGGGATACTGCCCAATTTTTAATACTTTATCATCACATAAAACTAAAAAAATTAGAGCTTCTTTTGTTTATCCAGTCTAATTTCGCTCTTTTACTCAAAACAACCTCCAATCTCACTCTTTTATAACTACTTAGTGACCCTAACTCTTCATTTACGCATCGATCTGGTGTTCTTCTTCCACCATCATATGTAGCAGTTGCTCACTTATTGCTGAAGCTCTTTTACTTATATCTTATTAGCATTCATTTATCTTGTCTTATAGTTTAAGGTATGTACTCTTAGTATAATTTTTTTTTAAAAAAATTATTTGTAACTACATGATTTTATCATTTTAGTTTTAATTGATTATGTAGAGAAAATATAAGAGAATGAATTACAATAAAGATATTGTTTAACAATAAAGATACAACCCTAATTTTGTGTTTTGTTTTGTTTGTTTGAAAAGGGTAAGATGTGTAGACACCTAAAGGAATAATTTTTGTTGCTTGTTCTTCTCAATAATTGATTCACTTCTCCAAGATAAAAATATTGAGTGAACTTTTGATTTTTTTTTTTTAAACAGAAAAATTATGTTCATTGTTTCAATAAATATATGCAATTCCTTAAAATATAAAGTTCATAAATAAATAAAATTAAAATTAAATTAAAAAAAAAAGGGTAACCATTTTTGAATTATGACTTTGGTTGTGGAGGTGGGTGGAAAGACTATTCCTTACTACGAGGGGTGAAAGTTCTTGTCTCTTTCTTAAACGTTCTGCGAATCCTTCATTCTTATATTAAAACTTTCCAGGGACCACCTCATGGTATCCAAGTTGAAAGAGATAAATTGAACAAGTATGGTCCTCCCTTATTAGGATGTAATCTTAAACGTAAATTGGGGTTCTCCGATAAAAAGTACGGTAGAGCGGTTTATGAATGTATACGCGGTGGACTTGATTTTACCAAAGATGATGAGAATGTAAACTCCCAGCCATTAATGCGTTGGAGAGACCGTTTGTTATTTTGTGCCGAAGATATTTGTAAAGCACAGGGAGAAACCGGGGAAATCAAAGGGCAACCATCTCCGCCCACACACCATCTTCTCCTTCCTTCCTATCCCAATATAAAATCCCCTGCAACCCTCTTCATCTCCTCAGCTTGACGTTCCCTTCCCAGAGAACACCAAGCTAAATTTCTTCTTCTTTCTTTCTTTCTTTCTTTCTTTCTTTCTTCTCAATTTTTAACCAGATGCAGGCCTTATCCCCACCCATTTCCCAGAATCCTCTGGTAAAAACCCACCGCCGTCATCTCCTCCGTCTCAACCAATCTCGCCGAATGTCTCTCCACTGTATGTACAGATCCGACCATGTACAGTTCCCCAATGGCGTCGGTTCTAGCCGTGCAGACTGGCAGAGCTCCTGTGCTATTCTTGCCAGTAAGGTCGCTTCTCAGGAGCAACCCACCGACAAGTCTGGCTCCTCCTCTGAACCTTCTACTGGCGCCGGTCACGTCGCTGCTGTTAACGGCCACAAGACCTCTATCGAACTCAATCTGGTTCCGATCAATAAAGCCAACACCAGTTCGCCGCCACAGAAGCCGCTCTCCATAACAGACCTATCTCCGGCTCCCATGCACGGTTCTCAGTTACGCGTCGCCTACCAGGGTGTTCCCGGCGCGTACTCTGAAGCCGCCGCCGGTAAAGCTTATCCTAACTGCGAGGCCATTCCTTGTGATCAGTTTGAGGTCGCGTTTCAGGCGGTGGAGCTCTGGATCGCTGACCGAGCGGTTCTCCCTGTTGAAAACTCTCTCGGAGGTTCGATCCATAGAAATTACGATCTCCTTCTCCGGCACCGGCTTCACATCGTGGGTGAGGTCCAGCTCCCGGTCCACCACTGTCTTCTCGCCTTGCCGGGGGTCCGAAAGGAGTATCTGAACCGGGTCATCTCTCACCCGCAGGCTCTAGCCCAATGTGAGCACACGCTTACCAAACTGGGTCTCAACGTGGCTCGCGAGGCTGTCGATGATACGGCCGGCGCCGCCGAGTACATAGCGGCGAACAACCTTCGTGACACGGCGGCGATCGCCAGCGCCCGTGCAGCGGAACTTTACGGACTGCAGATTCTCGCCGACGGCATCCAGGACGACTCCGGGAACGTGACCCGTTTCGTGATGCTTGCACGGGAGCCCATCATCCCGCGCACAGACCGGCCATTCAAGACCAGCATCGTGTTTGCCCACGACAAGGGCACGAGCGTTCTGTTCAAAGTTCTGTCTGCATTCGCCTTCCGCAACATCAGCCTGACAAAGATCGAGTCCCGACCCCACCGGAATCGGCCGATCCGGTTGGTTGACGACGCCAACGTGGGCACTGCAAAACACTTCGAGTACATGTTCTATGTGGATTTTGAGGCGTCCATGGCGGAAGTGAGAGCGCAGAACGCACTGGCTGAGGTACAGGAGTTCACCTCTTTCTTGCGCGTTCTGGGTAGCTATCCCATGGATATGACTCCATGGTCCCCTTCCAGAGGCGATTAATTTAGACCCCTCCATCATTTTCATATCAATCCTCTCTGTTATTATTACCATTATTATTATTTGAGAAAAGGGAAATTAATTTTATATTCTTTCCTTTTGAATTTGGATTTGTTTAATTTGATGGGGGTCAAACATTTTCAAAGACAACTTATTGTTGGATGTGAATACCATTTTCATAGCCAATATGGATTTGTTTATCTGGAATTTTCTTTTATGTTTTTTTTGTAAATGAGTAATGGTTGGTGAGCCTCGAAGAGAAGGCCATGGAAATGGAGATTTAAGTTATTTTATTCGATCATGATGGTCAGTCAGCCTTTTTAACCAAGTCAACCAAGAAATTAAATATACTCATTCATCCTTACTTGCACCTTTTATATAATATGTATGTATGTATATATATGTATTTTCTGTCATCTATCTATCTTGGTTTATTATACTCTATACACCATGTGTGGATCAAGTGTTTGTTAAAAAAAATTTTTAGATGGAGAATTTATATGTTGATCTAAATTGAGGGTTTGCATGTTTCATTTATTGTTCA